CTTGGCAAGCAACGCTTTTGGGGAAGACAACCACATTCCAAATACTGGCTCCTTCCTGGACCTGGGGAGGGGACGGCAATCGCGGTTACCCGGCATTTCTGCGTTCATAGATGTGTACAAGGTGGTCTGTAGCCCATGCGTGTAGCCAGGCCCAGGTTTCTTTCTCCTCCTCCCCCTCCCCCTCCCTCTCCCCCTCCGCCTCCTCCTCCCCCTTTCCCTCCTCCTCCTCCTCCTCTTTCTCCTCTTTCTCCTCCTTCTCGTCCTCCTCTTCTTCCTTTCTTCTTTATTCCTCCTCCTCCTTCTTCTTCCTCTCCCTCCTCCTCCTCCTGCACTTCTCCTTCTTCTTCCTCCTCCTCTTCTTCTTCTTCTCCTCCTTCTCCTTCCCCTTCTCCTTCTCCTTCCCCTTCTCCTTCTCCTTCTCCTTCTCCTTCTTCTTCTTCTTCTTCTTCTCTTCTTTTCTTCTTCTTCGGCAAGAATATTCAAACCAATCCACTCTTTCTGTAGCTAGCTCCCACGAAGCTGGGATTTTCAACCTCTTATTTATTTGCAAAGCCCATATGGAACCCTGGTTGAATCCCCTGTCTTGGGATTTTACCAGGAGGCCGTCAGTGCTCCACCGCCGCCCATGGCACGTGAAGAGAAAGGAGGGAGAGTTGGCAGCCGCGAGAGAAGCCGGCTGGGAGCCTCTTCCGTCGGGGCCCTGTTTCGCCACAACAGACCCGTCTCTCCTTTCTCTCCCCGAAGGTACTTCCTTAGGCCGGCATTGTTGCTGCGGTGGTGGCAAGGTGAGCACTGGCATGGTCCCGGGGCGGGGGTGGGAAGAGCGGCCCTGTCTCCCGAGCTCCAGTGATTCTGCGAACCTGCAGGGAGCCGAAGGCTGAGTGGAGCTGGGGGCCCGCGCGGGGCTCCTGGCTCCCGCTGGCAGGGGAACAGCGACACCTACTGGCCGCACGGGTACCTCGCCTGGGCCGTCAGGGCTGCCCTGGGCCGGGGTGCCCGGCTCGGTGGACTTGGGAGGCGGCGGGAAAGTGCACCCAAGGCTCTGCGGACTGCTCTAGGCCTCGTCCGCCCTCGGGAAGACAAAGCCACGCTTTCTGGAGACCCCTGAGAGAATTGTAGGTTGGAACTAAACACTCAGGCACACAAGCATGCCCTTTTTTTCTGGGGAACCGGAGAAAACCGCAGACGCAGTTGCCCATCGTCCCTTGTTTAATAAGAGAGACCCAAGCAGAGGTCAGAGCCTTGACCTCCTCAGGTTCATGACCCAGGCCTCTTCCCCGCCGTCCCCAGAGCGACACTGACTAAAGAAGATATCTTTACAAATTAGGAAAAGAAAAGAGTTCATTACCCTCCCTTAGGCGGGGAAATGTGCGAGTCAAGGGATACAGACTCAGATGCAGCGGTTGGTGCCGGCCACGCGAACCGGCCGAGCCCTGCTGCTAGCCAGCTTCGAGCACCTTTACAGCACCCTGCTACCGCCGCCAGGGAGTGAAATTTGATAGCTTCTCTTTAAGAATTATAATCGTCTTAATCACCCCTGAAATAAAGGCAAATTTGGGCTGCTGGTGATATTCTGGAGACCTACGGATGTGTGTATATATATTTAAAGCCTGTATACCAAAGCATATATATATATGTATATACACACACACACACACGTATATATTATATATATATATAATATATACGTGTGTGTACATATACACACACATACACATGTGTGCATATATATACATATGTATATGTATCTTTTGCGACAAGGCTTCGGTGGTTGGCTTCTGTTGGGGAGGGTAAGAGATGTTATGAAGCCATGGCAGTTCTGATGAAAACTCAGCGAGGTTGGGGATGGCAAAAAAGTGATTCATGTATTCCAGATTCACTTTCTCTTATCTAGTGTTTTCTGTAATAGCATATAGCCATTTCATATGGGAAGGAGATGTGATGTTGGTCCCAGCAGCCGGTAAAGGAGGGGAACCTCAGCTTCCATTACTCCCCAAGATGCCTTCTTTTCTCCTTTTCAGGTTCTGAGGCTCACTTGGGCCTAAAAAAACCTGACTGAGTGTGATTCTGATACTAACCTGCTCAAATACTAAAAATATATTTATTTTCCTTGAAACATTGGGGTATCTGAGCTAATTTCATTCCTTGAGATTTCTGTGTAAAATATTGTTTAACAAACCTCAGAATTAAAAACATTTTTTTCCATTCAGATTTCAAGAGTTCATCTTGGAAATTATTTTTCTTAGCTTTATATACCGGTTAGAACTAGGGTCTAAAATGTTTTGCCTGGAAGGTGGGAGGCCTTATTAGGACTAAATTTTTGTCTTCATTCTCAACAATCACAAAAGTTTGCTAATTCTGTTTTATTTTAATAAAATTGGAAGCTTTTATTATCTCTAAAGCCAAGAGTTTTAGATCAGGTCTCCCTCTCTCTCCCTCTTAAAAAGAAATCACCAAAAGGCCCAAGAAACCTGTACTTCAACTCTGTTCTGCAAGTATTTTTTTTCTTTTTAAATTTTCCTACGAGTCGATTCAAATGTATCCTGATAATATAAGAATTCACATCACAGAAGAGAGTCTCAGCAGTTTCTATGATGTATGAATAAACCTGTATTATTAATAAACAGGGCTATATCCTACCGGCATTTTTTCTCAACAAATCCTGTTTCTCACTACATTTCAAAGCTAGCTTTCTCCTTGTGAAATGGAGACATTCATAGGACAGGAAAATTATTATAAAAAATGACATTGGACACACAACAAGCACCCATCAACCAAACCCAGCTCAAAGGTGTCTTTGGGTATTGAAAGCACCTTGATAAATGCAGGGGTTGATGTTTTTTCCTTTCCTTTTAGCTTCTTAGGATGTAGCTTTATTTGTGACTCCAAAATCTTAGCTAGAAAGGGCTCTCGTTGTTGATATTCTTTGGTTTGACTAACTAAAAATGTTGATTTGGCATTAAAGAAGATAGGAAAATAGAATTTATGTTTCAAAAATTGTGGAATTTCTCTGCATGCTAGTCACCCCCACAGCATTAGCATATTAAACTCTAGTAGAAAAAAGTTTACTGTTTATAACAGAAAATTAGGCCAGGAAAATAATCTCATATTTCACATAAAATATGAATAAGTATATTCATATATGTAATTTGTGTATAGGTGTTATCGTGATGACTGTGTGAAGTAACGGAGGAGACAAGGCTTTTTGTTCTGTTTAGGTTTCCCTCAATATATTTTTCTTTTAATTCCTCTTTTTTATCCAGAAAATTAAGGAATAGAAGGCAGGCTAAACTGTCATTAGACTGTGTCCCTGTTCTTTGTCACTCCTGCCTTTCCTCTAGACTGCCTGGGAGGTTGTGTGTCCTCCTTTCTTGCTTCTTAGGTAGCAGGAAGGAAGGAATGAAAGCCTCAAGGATGTGAAGACTGATCAGAAAGGCACATTATTGCATGTGAAAATGAGTTGGGTACATTTGTCTAAATGTACTAAATTCCAGCTAGGTGGTTGTCTGGGGAGAGCGGACTTGTGTGTGGAAGCTAGCAGGCAGACTGAATAAAGTGGGGAGAGAGAAGCGGCTTCCTTGATCTGGAAATCTGCAGGGTCTTACTGACGTTTGGCTTCAGGGAGTAGAGATCCAAGGACACCTGTGTGCATCTGGCTGGAGATAGGTGTGTGTGTGTGTGTGTGTGTGTGTGTAGGGAGGAGTGGGCACTTCATCAAAAATACATTTGAAAAATATTAGTTCTATAATTCTGTCGCTAACAATTTGAGCCAGGTGCCAAGGTCACTAATGTGTCCAGGTTCACTCCTGGAAGGCAGCAACATTATTGCTTTTGATGGTAGGAATATGGCTTCTTTCATTTCTTTGGCTCTTTATGGTACTTCTTTTGAGTGGGGCGAGGCTCTAGCTTCCCCCTCCTCCTTTCTTGATCTCGGCAAACAAAACCTTTCTACCACTTGAGCCATCTGCTGCAGGTGTAATGGATGGCAGGGGGCTGACCTAACCACACTCCAGTCTCTTCTAGGTCGTCACCGCTCTGCACCAAACAAATGAGACCTGTTTCACCACTAGGGTGCCGAGGTGGATGGTGGATGCTGGCCCCCGCCCCTGGCAGCCCTCAGCTTTTAGAAACCGGAGCCAGCTGACAACACGCGAAACACACAGGCACAGCGAAAACGCCGAGCCGACCGCGCACTCCCTCTGCCCCCTCCCTCTGCTCTCTGTAACAAGGGGGACACGTACACAGCCTTTACACACTTAAAAGCCCTCGCGACTCCCTCTGAATTCTTGGTTACTTATGACGGCCTTTCTCACTGCACATAGCCCCTGTTGTGTGTGTGTGTGTGTGTGTGTGTGTGTGTGTGTGCGCGCGCGCGCGCGCGCGCGCACGCGTGAATGTGCGTGTATGTTTAAAACGCTTATTGGTAGGTCATCAGCAGCTGATCAGACATGGTAATCCAATAATTTTTTTTGAATACATACAATTTTTCGTTCAAGGTAATTTTTTTAAGGGAAAAATGAAAAACTATTAATTTTCTGCGCCAAGTCTAGGGTTCCCAGTGTAGGTTCCAGAGAACAGCAGATCTGCGCAGCCCCCTCCTTACCAAACTTTCCTTTTCTGGGGTTAGAGAGGGGCTCACATTCTCACTTCATGACAGAGCAGCGGCTCATTTGCACGCGGATGTGTAAAGGAGGGAGCTGTCCAACGCGCGACTTAGGAAGGGAAATCGGGTAGCTGGAGCCCCCCCCTCCCCGCAGTCTCTCGGAACCCTGGCTGGAGGCACAAGGTGCCCTGGGGCAAGAGCCTGGGGTCCCAGCTTCCAGGCGCACAGCATCCTCTGGGCCCCCGGCCCTCCGGCTGAGGCACTCCTTCACCTGCACCCCATTCTCATTCCATTTTGATCATTATTTGAATAGCCCAGGTAAGGGTGCCCATCTCTGGGCTATGGATGGGGGCTGGACCTGACAGGTACAGACTCCGCGGGCCCCCAGTGTACTTACCTCGAGCGAGGCCCTGGCAAATGTTGGCCCAGAAGCATCAAGTTTCCTCTCCCAGCCGTGGTGCCAGATTTCCCCTCCTGCCTTCTGCTCCTCTCGGCCAGCTCGCGTCTGTCTCCCTCTCTCTCTCTCTCTCTCTCTCTCTCTCTCTCTCTCTGTCACACACGAGGATTACTTGTGACTTTTAGAGGCAAAAGCTTGCTTATTCAGAGGAGAGAGGGAGGGGGAGAGGGAGAAAGGAGGCGGGAGGGAGGAGGGGGGAGAGAGAGAAGTAGAAGGGGGATGGAGGATGAAGAGGAGGTAGAGAATCAGAAGGTAGTGCGGGCGTTGGTAGAGAAGGAGGAGGAAGAGGAGGAGGAGGAGGGATGGGAGGGGTAGGTGGAGTAACCGAAGATGGGCTGGGATGGGACGGCGAAGAATAAATTGCTCCCCACCCAGCTGCGGTGCGACGCCCCCAGCGTCCCCGGGGAGCCGGTGCGTCAGCTCGAGGCTGGCCAAGGCGGGGCCGTACAAAAGCTGGCGCCGCGGGACCCCCTTCGTGGGCTTCTACCCGAGCAGACCGAGAGCTGGAGGCCGCTCCACGCGCGAGCTCGAACTACGGAAGGCTCTCAGCTCGGACAAGCGTGGCTGTCTACCCGCTCCATGCTCCACGGAACTTTGATTTTACTCCCTGGAGCCGGGTCATCCACTCCTGCACCTCAGACAAGCGCGGGAGGCTAGTGCAGCTTCCGTGCGTCCTCACTGTGGCCGCGGGGCGCCCACCTTAGTCACAGCCCCTGGTCCCTGCGCTGCTCACGCCGCCCGTTTCCCCGCTGGCCAGGCTCCCTCCGCCCGAGCCCTGCGTCTCTGTTCACAGGGGGCACCCCCTCACCTCACCTCAGCTTGTTTTTACAGAGGGGGTGTGTGTGTGTGTGTGTGTGTGTGTGTGTGTGTGTGTACATAGCGCGCGCGCTCCAGGCTAGAAAGAAGGTAAAATCCCAGCACGAAAAAGTAGCTTCGGTCTCCAGTAGCTTAGAGCCCACGACCAAGTCCGACCATATCCAGTATTTGAGATTACAGTTTGCAGCAAGGGCCGAGGCGGGGGTTCACCGGATCATTTCAACTGAGTTTCAGTGCGGCAAGGATTGTTTATCATAATTGCTAAGTCTGGCAAAAATAGGCCAAAAATAAAGAATAGTGGCAGAGAAAGAAGTGGAGGCATTTTAGCAATGATCAGGAACCAAAAGTGGTTGAAATGGATTTCTCGAACAAGAGCATCCACTGTGGATAAAGGTGAAAGCGGCAGACTCGCACAGAACCGCTTCAATACGTGATGGGATTAAAAAATAGGACCATGCTTTTCAACATAGACTACCCATTAGTTCTCTGTTAAATGCATTAAACCAGTCCCATGGAACGATTACATGGCAGCTTTTTAATGTACAAACACCAGGATTCTACAACGGATGCATAAAACCCGTTTATAGCACTCCCTCTGTACACACAGACGCACATGGATTCTACAACGGATGCATACAACCCGTTCATAGCACTCCCTCTGTACACACATACGCACATTCAAAGAGACAAAGTTTTAATACCAATACCCCAAACTTGTAAATATATATTTTCTCAAACAACTATCCCTAAATAGAGTAATTTTCTTCTTCATTTCCTTGCTGACCTGTGCGACATTATAGTTACACAGTAGGTTCCCAGGATCAACATAACTCTGCTTACATTCATTGTGGATGGCACGTCATAAAAATGCCAGGGGGGAGGGAACCTTGATGGGCGTGGAGAAGAAGGCTTTTATTAACAATTATATTCTCCCCTGGCAGTTTAAATAATAACAATGATGTCACGGTAACCATCTCCCTTCTCCCATTCCAGTGAAACCACTAGATGGGTTGGTGAACTGTATATTTGTATACCTAAGGGATTATTATTGCTACAGAGTTATAAACCTATTCTGTGGCATAAAGAATCTCTGAACGGTAGATTGCTGAATATTTGGCATGTTTTAGCACTCATTTACCTGCCAAATCTTATTTCAGAATAAGAATAAAATGTTACTAGTTTGTGCCCAGCATAGTTTTGAAGGAAAATAGAACAAAAAGAAGTTGCTCTTTGAAATTATGTTAGTTGCTGGAAAAAAAAAATCCTCTCAGCGATGGAGCCGGTTACACACTATATCAAACGAAGATCATATTTTACCAACCCGGGCTGAGTTTTAAAAATTCTTTCAGACAACAGTGATAAGAGAGGAAGTAAAGAGCATGTAGACTCCCGCCCAGCCTGCACCTGCCTTCGCAGTGCTTGCAGCACACAATCTAAACACATCTGGACCCCCAACCCTATGCATTTTCTCTGTTTGGGGCTTGGTTTCTGAGGACAAGAGTTCGTTCTCGATGGACCAGCCACACGTTGAAAAATGGGTATTTGTTTAAGGTCGACATTCAAGCTATATACAACATGCAGCCTATATAGTACAGTGGCATGGTGGGAACAGTTTTCATTGTTTAACAGTTACTTAATAATTAAGATGCCCTGCATGTTGAATATCATTTTTGAGAATTTGCCTTTCTGTCTTTAAAATTATTAGCCAGCGTTTTCATGAGGCCTCAGGACTGGGCTGCACGGAGGAAAGTGAGGGATTCAATAAGGTACAGCTTTGATGTACAGAACAATTCTATAAAAGAAAGTAATTTATGACAGGAGGACAAAATAAATTTGGGGTTCTGTTTAAGTAGAACTTAGCAGTTGCAAAACTATGTTTTAAACAGACAACTTCATAATTTGCATTCCTTTTTCCCTTCTTAAAGTATATACAACCTGCGAAATTTACTCTTCTTAGCTAGTAAAACACCTGAAGACTTAAATTAGACACCAAGTAGCCACTGATGTACCAACCACGTACAACCTGCCTTCCTGGAAGGTGTGGAATCTTTTATGAGTACTCAAGAAAAGCCCCCAGAGCTCAACTAGGTTCTATGGCGCTGGCACTGAGGAGTGTTCTTTAAGGTGATCAGTCTTTTAAGCATCACGTGATTAGACAGGAAAGGTAACTTGAAAACACAACCTGATTCTGAGAGAAATCATTTTGTCCTGTTGGCATGAAAGTAGTTATACCTCCAAGTTCTGCTCAGGAACAGACGGCTGCGTGTGGGGGCTGGTCCCTACCCAGATCAGTACAGGATCTTCAACTGGCAGACGAAATCCAGCAAATGGAATTCACGAAGAAACTCATGTGCGTTTGGAAAAAAAGGTGGGGGAGAGTGCTGCTTCCTGATTCCTTTTGCTGAGGTCTCCTGTGATCATCAATGGCTTTGGCAGCAGCAGGGAAGGCAAAAAATAATTCACCATGAAACCGTTTTGACCATGACTTATTTAATGGGGCTAGTTTGAACTTTGTTTTAAAAAATTTCCTGGCAGATGTTAGTCTTCTCCGTGCTTATATCTTACATGATTTTTAAAAAATGTCATTTATAGGTAGTCATTGCGTGGAGTTGTGCTACAATTAACACATAGGTACAAGGGCACTTCAGGGCCATGTAAATATCCAGGGTAAAGGATTCACCAGCTTTCCTGGCAGCAACATCTGCAAATGGAAGCTACTCTAGAAGGAGACATTTTTATTTGTGCAGTTGTTACTAAAATCTTTATACATGTGAGTTTTGGGCTGAAATCACCAGTCCCAATTAAGGAGTTCAGATATACGCCACATCACCTTGTAAATAACCACTTAGACACCAGACTCTGGCCACTGTCGTCATAGTTCTGCCATAACTCTCCAAATGTTTGTTTGAAATATAATAACCTTGCTCCTTTTAGAACTCAGCTCAGAGACTCAAACTTGGCCTTTGAATTGGTACTTAAAAACTATTCTCTTTTATCATTTAAAAGTAAGCCTACTCCCAAAATTTAGCATTTCACTTTTTAAAGCTCAAACACTTCCTTAGGTCTCTAAGGTTTCAAACCAGTCCCTAGCATTAAATTCAGTCATGGCAATAATTTAGTACCCACAAGTAAACTGATGGTTTGGAGAGGGAGATGTCATCCTTCCTCTGTTTTCTTTTGTACCTAATAAAATGGAGACTGACTGTATGAAATCCCCTTCTAGAGCTTACCAAAATTGGTAAAATGCTTTTAAAAAATTCTACTGAACCAGAGCCCCATGGGCTTGCATCTCAGAAGGGGTTCCGGCTAGCTCCCTTTGGCTCATTTTTAGAGACCTGTTTTGGCGGAGGCTGCTCGCAGGTAACGCTTCCGAGATGAAGGCGGGGCTCCCTGTCGCCTGCAAGGGTATTTTACCTAGAATCTCCTTATTTTCCGTCCAAACTCACACTCTCCCACACTCGTGGGGTGATAGGTAGGCTAATAAAAGGCAAATAGTCATCAGAAGGGAACCCCATAGTTTCTATAAGAGGGGTTTTGGCCAGAAAACAAAGAGACCCCTCCTCGTCCCCTGTGCCTGAAATTCAGGTCGCCTACGGCTATGGGTCACGGCTTCAGGTGAGCGGCTCGGGAAGGGGTAGCTCTTCCCAGGGCCCCCAGGCTAGTCTTGGGCGGCTCCATGGGAGCGCTTTTCGACCTCCACAGCCATTCCGCTTCGTCTTTTCCTGCAATAACACCTGCTGCCACGGATTGAGTACACCTGACCAGATGTAGTCAAAAGAAACGGAGGAGAAAAGAAAAGGAAAGCCCCACCCTTCTTAATTCCGTTTGGTAAGAGCCAGGGCTGCCAAATCTATTACATAATTCCGGTTCAAGCTGACACCTGTGCCCGCCCTGGAGCTGGATCAGGTTCTGGCGGCTGCTCCAACCTGGAACGCCAGCTCCGCAGCGCCCAAGCCAAAGGCGAAGGGGAAGAGGAACGTAGTGTGCGATGGGGGCGGCCCCACGTTGGGGGTTCAGGTAAGGATTGGATTCTGCAGGGAACGCTCTCCAATAGTGGCTCCCTAATAATTTGGGACCGCGGGAAAAAAAAAATAGTTGCAGTTTCGAAGTCCCAGAGCTTTCTCAGGGGGCATCGGACGCCCCTCGATGCTCCAGACTGTGGCGGGCTCCCAGGGGTGCCCCCTCCAGCCCCGTCAGGAGCGGAGGACTCACCTGCCACTGGGCTGCCGGAAGCACTCACTCCTGCTCCCGTCCGCCCCCTGGGAACTATTGATGCGGACCTTGGAGGTGCCTATGGCGTGGCCTAACACGTGGACGCGGCCCACAACTCGCCCGCGCTGCTTCTTTCCCCTGAAGGCGGACAATGGCTTCATTAATCGGCCATCATTAAACTGACCCAAGAGAAGCCCGGTCCTGCAAAGAGGGCGCGGCAGGCTAATTTTGCCTACGGCTGACAGTTGGAGCAAATGGTGGTTAACACGCTGGATCGCGCTCTGGTAAAGGCCTGACCGTCCCGATCTTTGGGATCTGCACCAATTATCCCATGAAAAAAAAAAAAAA